ATATCAACAGTTCTGGGATGCCTATGTCTTAACCAAAAGCTGTTGACATCTGCCTGCCTCCCTAGGGTGCTCAGTCTAATTAAAGGTTGATCCTAATACCTGTTCTGACCCCTTCTCAGCAACTGCCATCTGCTATCGTGAAAAGCACTGGGGATCATTCTTCTGCCTCTATCTATTGCTCTCTCTTTCCTCTTAGAAGTAGAATTAAAAGAAAGGAGAAAAGCAAAAGTAAAAGGGGCTCCTAATGGCTGTGTAAACATGAATGTGAGGTATTTTTTAACTTTCAAAAATAATTGAAAACTAAAACAGCCACAAAGAAAATGACATAAACTAATGGACAGCTTGAGGCCAATGCTGGTGTATATACCCCCAAATAGATAGAGCTGTGTTAGCAGCCAAGAACTCACAGCATGTGCCTCAGAATGCTCCTATATTAATTGAGCAGAATGAGTGTCACCCCACCACCTCCCATTACATCAACCAGTACGCTGAACGTGATGGAAGCCGCGTTCCTACTCTTGGTATACCGACCACCTAAGTATTTATCTGTGTGGTATACTTTGGTTTTGCCAATTTCAGGAGTTTGTATGAGAAACTTAACTATGCATTTTTGTTTTTAACCTGGATTTTTTTATTCACATGAGGATTTTGAGATTTATCCATGTAGCTACAGTTCAGATATTTTTCACGGCTGCCCAGTATTTAATTATCTAAATAAATTGCAATGTATGGATCTGAGACCTTTATTAATAATACCTTTATGAACATTGGTATACATGGTGCACATTTTTCTGGTAGGTATAAAACCAAGAGTGGAGTTGCAAAATTCTGTGTAAATTTCAAGAAAATTCTAGGATTCTAGACAGCTACGTAGCCTCCAAATGTATGCACTCAGACTTTTTCCTCCAACAGAATATGAAACCCTTTGCTCCACAGCTTAGCCAATATGTGCTGTAGGCAGTGGTTTTTCTTTTTCTTTCCTCTTAGTGGAGTGAAATAATGTCTCGTTGAGCTTCATATCAGATTTCCCAGGTGCAGGGAGACTGAGCACGTTCACAGGATAGTTGGGCGTGTGCACTGCTCCTTTTTATAAGTGCCTATTCTGGTACCTGCTTGCCCTTTTTTAACCCAGATTGTTTGTCTTTTTCTTCTGTATTTCTAAGAATTCTTTGCACACCCTGGATCTGTGCCACTTGACAGTCATGTGTATAGCAAGTATCTTCTAATCACTGGCTCGATTTTTAATTCTCAGAGTATTTTTTCCTGACACAAAACATAATTCTTACTTAAATTTATTACACATTTTCTCTTCTAATTATGTTTTTGTGTCTTATTTTGTTCCTAACTTGAGATTACTGATGTATTAGTATCGTATTATTTTTTCTGAAAGCTTCAATTATGGAACTGTCACATTCAAGTCAAGAACACACCTGATTTCTAAGCCTGAAAATATATGACATTGAGTGGGCAAAAAAAGAGGAAGGTAAATTAAAAGGCAGAAATGCTGTTTGACTAGGCATCGCAGTGGTTGGTTAAACAGAGGTGCTCTTTTTTACATCAAAAGATGAAACTGATCTTGTGGCATCCTGTGCAGAGGACAATTCTCGTTTTGTGGTTGTTTGATTTATGCAGTGATCCCAGAGCTGTTGGTTAGCAAGTCCTCCCTGTTGCTGCGAACCAAGTGCTTCGTTTTGTTATCAACCAAGTATCCTATGTGTGCTGCTGTGTTTATTCTACTCCTTTGGTCTGTTTGCCCCGTTCTGCGGTGTCTTAGTTACTGTGCCTTTTAATTAGCATTGGCACTCCACATAGCAAGGCTTCTAATTTGCTGTTCGATCTAGTTTCAATCCTTTGAACTTGTTGGTTCGTAACCTAATGGATGATCACCTTCTCTCCCATTCTTTAGAAGTCTGAGAATCACATAGACTATGCAATCCTCCTGTACCATGTATAGAGGTCTATTTAATCAGCTTCATCAATCATGTTGTTCAAACACTGTACATCTGTCACTCATATATGTATTACTTTTCCTGAAAATACTGAAATCTTTAAAATGTTATCGTAAAATTTTCTATTTTTTGACAATTTTGTTTTATAATTCTGAGGCTTCTTTGTGCATACTCACAAAGGCAGAATAAAACACTCATTCTTCTCAATTAATATGTATTTCAAACAGTCTCTGTCTCTAATAACATATTTTACCTTATTGTGAACTTTGATGATATAATTGCAATGACTTTTTTGTTAAACTTTAAGCTCTCCTCTATTTCTTGGTGCTTCTGAGTCTTGGTGGCATACCATCAGAAAGTAGAAGCCAAGCTCCTAAGAGATGTCTCTACCCTGTCCCCTTACTGTAGTTCCCTGCCCACTGCCCTGGGCCCTTGAAGCAGTAATTCAGACAGGTTCTTGCCTTCACTAGAGATAAAATCCTACCCAGACAGTAAAGGATTATGTTTATTTAGGGTTTATTAGGATTGCAGTCTGAAGGATGCAAAATTCAAGCTGTCTTTAAAGTGTGCTCTCAGGTTCTACAAGGTGGCAACTCTTTTCATAGATTGAAGTGCAATGTGGGTGGCTGGTTCCATCTCTGACTTGTCAAGAATTGTGGCTGGTTCATCAGAGGTCGAACTGCACCCCTCTTGTAAAAAAGGCCTTGGCACAGCCTCAGGCAGCAAAGGTTTGGTTTCACCAACAGTGACACTGGTGAATTGCTTTCTAGAAGCTGCAGTTGGACCCATTTCATAGGGTCAGCAGGTACAGTGTGGTGTGTGCAGACAGCCAGTTCAAATGCTCAGCTGCGGGTGTTCGAGGGCTCCTGGCTCCATTTTATGTGCCCAGAACCAACCCTACAACCCTACTTGACTGTCTTCCCCAACACTGCAGGGGCATGGTACTTGACATTCTCTGACTAAAATTCTCTTTCCTGGTGTTTGAATCACTCCTTCTCTTGCTTCCGCTAATGCTGTGCTCAATGTCCCCCTGGGCCAGCCTTCCCCTGACACGCCTGGTGCTCCCTTCTCTCTCCCTGTCCTACAGTTCTTTTCACAACCCCAGCACTCTGCAAAAGGCTGTCCTCAAAAGTACTCCTTGATGGCTGTCATCGGCCCATGGAGAAAAAGTTCCCAAGACAGGAGTGCTGTTTCCATAGGCACAGGAACTTGGTTTTCGTGGTAATTAATGCTTTTCTTTTTTTAACTACTATGTCTACAGAATCTAGAATTCTCAAGTACGTTTTGAATAAATGAGAGGTATATGTGGTATTGAAAGATACTAAAACTCCCTTCTGTATTGAAGATATAGCTAAAACTAATTTCATCTGTTGAATAAAGTTGACACATTGTAATAACTACTTTTTACAAAGAAACAAATGTGTTTTGTTGTACCATGTTCCTTTGTTCAGAGGACAAAAATCCAGGACTAGGCAAGTTAAAATTTTTCATAGATTAAACCTGCAATAACTATCAGGTGGACACAATATCTTTATTTATTTATTTTATATGGTGCTCAGGATGGAACCCAGTGCCTCACCATGCATGTGAGGCAAGCACTCGACCACTAAGCTACAACGCCAGCCCCCTGTGTTTGTTATTCTGATATGTTCATCTGACACATGATAGTTATGAATAAGAATCTAATCCTTTACCCAGAGACATCATCTATAGGGTTTCTTGCTTTCAGAATGGAACACCAATAGAAGCCTCTCAGATGGACCAATTTCTTCTGTATATTTTTGAAACCTCTAGAGACAAAGTTTCTAGTTATAGTGCCAGGGACTCTCAGGTTTGACAGTTCCTATCATCAGAAATTCTACCAAGTTTCTAACCAAAATCCTGTTTGAAGTGCAAGACTCATTAGGTCAACAGCTTGTGATGGAACAGGCCCATTAAATCCAACTTTTGAGTAAGTTAAAGCTTGTGAATGAGTCCTAGCTAAATAATGTAATTACAGGTATGAACTAAAGCCAAGAAATCTACCATCTACTGCTCAGTGAGTCTTAAATGCAAAAAGGATGTCCTTTGTGTAAAATCACCTTGAAAAGGAAAAGGCACTAAGGGGAAGAGATTGCCATGTGGTAAAAGGGTTTTCATCAGATGGAAGCGGGTTTGATTACAGCCGGCCGGTGTGTGCAGGGTGTGCAGGGTGTATACCAACTGGAGGTCCCTGGGATTTCTGGAGTCCTGGCAGAAACGTGGAATGTTCTATGAGGAAAATCTGAGGTGCACCCAGAAATTAGTTTGGTGAGATGATTGGCATGTTTAGAAGAGGAATCTGAATGACAAGGTGAAATTAGCTGATACCCTGAAATAGAGTTTATGCACCATCCAGAAATCAAGATGGAGCATGCAGGGACATCATCTGCTAAGGGACAGACACCAGGGAAAGAGAATCCTCTTGCAAGAAATAAGTTCTGCTGCTAATCAGCCAATGGACTTTGCAACTTCAGCAGCCCTTGTGGAACCATGAAGTGAACAGCCCGTCTTCCTCCCCAGACTGCTCGGGAAGGTCATTCATTTCTGTCCTATTTTCAATGGGATGCTAATAAAAATCAGGTACCTAATTTTATTCACAAGGTTCTCTTTCATGCACCCAAAGATTTTATATTTATCATTTACAAGCAAAATAAACCTACTCCTTTATAATTTTTTTTTCTTCCTGGGAGTGATTTTCAGGGCTCAAGCAGTTAATTTGCGGCTCATCTCTGGAATGTCTCCAACACACTCACAGAAGATGCCAGTTCCAGGGCCTGAGCAGATCATAGCACACCAATAAAAACTAGTTTGATAAAAAAGGACAAAGAGGTGATTTCCTCATGCTTCTTCTCATTTTATACTCCTCTTGTAGAGGTGGCATTAAATGCCCTGACTTATATTTAATTTGACTTCACAATAACACAAAATGACACTTGAAAACTCTTCATACCAAGGCCCTTTTGGTTACCTTTCTCTTCTTTAAAAGCAAAATATTTTGAAATCTGCCATTAAGTGATTCTTTTCCTACTTGAAGCTTTAAAATTCAATTAGAGATCAAATGGAATAGAACTAGAACACAGCCATGATAAATTAATTTCATTTTCCCAATAAATTATGTTTGTGTTTTAATCACTTTACTCTGAGACTGTCTTTAGACTTTAAAATATCAAAAATAATTTGAGACAAATGGAAATTTAAAAACCTTACACAAAATACCTGACTAACAGCCTTCAAAATGGCCAAGGTCATGTAAAACAAAAAGATACTAAGAAACTGTTCCAGGTCACAGGACATCAAGGACATAGGACAAGTGAAGTCACCTAGGAATTGTGGATTGGGTCCCTGAACAGGACAATGAAAAGCTGGAGAAATCTGGACAGAATTTGCAGTTTACTTTAGTAGTTTTACCAACTACCTTGGAATTTCACCCATGTTTATGTTCATGTCTTAGTTTTGAACAATGTATCTTGTGTACATTAGCAGAAGCTGGGTAAAGTATGGAGACACTTGCTACATTATTTTTGAAACTGTTTGTAAACCTAACGTTATTCCAGGAAAAAAAAAAGAAAAGAATAACTTAAGGACCTCAATCTAGTACACAGTTTATTATGATAAGTCCTTAAAAGTCTGTCTTAGTGTAAAACTTTTCTTTTTTCTCCACTTCCTCTCCAGTATTTATTATTGTTTGTGTATTTGATGGCTATCATTCTGACTGAAGTGCAATGAAGATTTGGTATAGTTTTGATTTCCATTATTCTACTTGATAATGATGTTGAATATTTTTAAATCCTGGGGTACATTTGAGTCTTTAATTCAAGTAGTATCTCTTTTATGTTTTATGAGGTAAACCAAAATTTGGGACACAAATCTTTACTAGTGTTATATTTTGTGTTGGATTGTTCCCTTTACCATTACGAAATGGCCTTTTAAGAGATTTTTGATTCATTTTGACTTGAAGTCTGCTTTGTCAGATATAAGAGTAGCTACTTCTTATTGTTTTCAGTCTTCATTTACAAGGTGGCCAATTTCGATCCTTTCACTTTCAACCAATGACTCTTTGTCTATAATGTTAGTCCCTAGCAAACAACATAGGTTTCAGTCTTTAAAAAAAAAAAATCCATTCTGTCTGCCAGCCTGCCTATGTCTTTTAATTATAGAGTGAGACCATTTACATTCATCATTATTATAAAGAGATGTTTAATAATTCCAGCCGTTTTGACTTATTTATAACATTTAATTTGGTCCTATTTCTCATTTGCTTAGATTTGCTCAGCTAGTCTTCAAAAGAGAATTGTTCTCTTTTTTTTTTGTTTGGCTTTGATTTCTTCTCTGTATGGTATTTCACACTATTGATGGGACTGTAAGTTAGTATAACCACTATGAAAATCAGTATGAATCTTCCTCAAAAGGCTAGGAATGGATGCACCATGTGATCCAGCTATGCTTCTCCTTAGTACTTATTCTATAGAATTCAAGTCAGCATACAATAGCAATATATGCATACCCATGTTTGTAGCAGCACAATTCACAGTAGCCACACCATGGAACCAAATTGGGTGTCTACCAATGGATCAATGGATAAAGAAAATGGTATATGTACAGTTGAGTTTTATTCAGCCATATAGGAGAGTGAAATTTTGTATTTGCAGGAAAATGGATGAAAGTTGAGAACATTGTGTTAACCAAAATAAGCCAAAATAAAAAAAAAAAACTAAGGCTTTTCTCTCATGTGTAGAAACTGGAGAGTAAAAAGGAAAATAAAGGTGGTGTTGGGTGGGGGTAGGGGTGGATCTCATGAAAATCAGAGGGAGATGGGTAGTGTAAAGGAAAGGGACCAAAATGAGGGAGGAAGAGTGGAAAAGGCTAAATTCAGGGGAATGATATTGGACAAATTGTATTGTTATATTGTGTGCAAGCACGAACATTTACCAACAAATCCCACCATGATACATAATTATAATGCACCAATAAAATATGGAAAATAAATGGAAAAAAAAAGTCCATCTTAGCCAGGGGCAGTGGTGCATACTTGTAATCCCAGTGGCTGGGGAGACTGAGATAGGAGGATCACAAGTTCAAGGCCAGCCTCAACAACTTAGCCAAGCCTTTAGCAACTTACTGAGACCCTCTCTCAAAATAAAAAATAAAAAGGGCTGGGTATGTGGCTCACTGGTAAATCAACCCTGGATTAAACCCCCGTACTGAAAGAATAAATAGATAAATAAATGAAGTCAGTCTTCTCAAAACGGGAATGCTTGTGTTTTCTGGCTCATGTTTAGCTCACTCCAAAACAGAAACTAACTGTGGTAATACCAGATGCGGCACTGTAGTCACTAGATAGCTCTGTGTGCATTTCTGGAGTATCAAAGGCTTCATTTGACATGAGCTGTGAGCAGTGAATGGAAAAAGGGTATCACCTTTGTTAATATAGATACAGATATTGCTGATAGATACAGACATATTGCTTGTATATATGTTGCATATATATGCTTCCCCCCTCCCCTTAATCAGCTCAGGCTACCATAGCAAAGTGCCCTACATCAGGTGACCTGAGGCACAAGACTTTACTTTTTCACAATTGTGCAGCACGCAAGGCTGAGATCTGGGTGCCAGTGTGATTGGGTTCTGTGATGGCCTCTTCCTGGCTTAGGGACAACTGCCTTCTCACTGAGTGCACACAGGGCCTCTCTGTGAGCGAACGGGAGAGAGAGGAAGCAAACGCCCTGGGGTCTTCTCAAGAGAACTCTGCTTCCATCATCAAGGCCCACCCCTCGTGATTCCATCTAACCCGGATTATCTCCCAAAGGCCCATCTCCAAAGACTATCTCACCAGGAGTTAGGGGGCGCATAGTTCAGTTCAGCCCCCAAAACCCAAGAGTTTCAGATCAGACTGTAGACTCCTTTCCAATCATATGCTAGACGGTTTCTGCAGGCTGTCTATCTCTTGTAATCCTGAAAGAGTGACTTCATAATGGAGTTTGATCTTAGTTTATAGATGAGGAAGTTAAGTCTTAGAGACGTTAAAATAACTTCTGTGAGGCAAGGCTTTTAAAGAATAACAGAACTTACAGTGAAATTGAGTTTTTCTCTGTTCTTGGACATTATAGCATAAAATCCTCAGCTCTAAAACAAGGCTTCAAATTGTATTAGAGAGTGAGCGAAAAGACTTGCTCTCTGTATGTTACTTCATGATATATTGTGGAGACAGTCATTTTTGGAAGGAATTTTCATTTTATTTTACTCTGTTTTGGAACATGTAAATATGAATAGCTCTATTAATTAACAATACCTGAAGTGTCCTAAGATATTAGCAGGAATTAATATTTATATTGAATGTAATATTTAAAGAGTTTTTCCTACTGATATCATGTATATAATAGTTCCCATAACTTATGGAATCTTTGAAAACTTTAAAAATATATTTGGTACAAGTCCACTTTTACCATATAGTATATGTAAACACACTGCCATGTGTATTATGTGCATACACATGCAGGGTGTGTAGATGGTTTGGGATACTATGAAAAGCCAGCTGCTCAGAGCATCCTGTCTGTTTGTAACACTTATGTTTATTGGTGACTCTGTGTGCACTGTGAGATTAACTTAATATGCTTAATTTCTTTTTCACTTCACAATATAGACATTGTTTTCCCCAAACTAATTGAAGGACACCTGCTTAGAGAGCTCAGTGACTTGCCCATTGTGGCTCTCACACGGGGCTGAGTTGACTTGGAATTCCAAGTCCCGTCTTTACAGTGGCACTGTTCACGTCTGGAAGATCATTACTATAATTTCTGTTTATCTTTTAAAACTCTCATGTGATTCTCTAATTTTTCTGGATGAGAACGCTTGCATCTGAATATTCTAGCTCTGAATATTTGTTAGGCTTTTGCCTCATTAGGAAAAAGGTGTTCACTAGGTAGAGTTTTGTCATGAACAGAAAATTGCACCTGCACTGTAAGCAAAATGAGCAGATCCTCGTGGCAACCTTCTGTGCCCAGAACACGGGTCCCCCTTGCCACATCCTCCCTGCTTCTCTTGGGGATCTCTCCTTTGTTAGCTGGACACTGAGTAATCTGAGGCTGCACAGCTAGCCAGGATGTAAATCCAAGCCTGTCTGATCCCAAAACTTTAAGGATTTTCCACTATGCCACGCTATTTCTTCTAAGTTCACATTTTCTAAATGTCACTATTTAAAACATAAGTATGTTTTTAAATTTAAAGTCAGAATTCTCCAACACCAAGTAAAAATCAATATAGAATTGAGTTCATTGAAGCTAAAAAACCACATGCTAAGATCATAGCCCAATCTCATTGATATATTCTTTGCTATTGTTTTACTTAGGGAGTGGGGATCACTAAGGGACCAAAAGATGTAGCATGTGCTGAGCACAAGGGTGGGAAGAACACCCAGAGCTTCAAAGTAGCTCCTCATTTCCATGTACACAGAGGGAAAGCACTCGAGAGGGAAGGCACATCCATTGGATCTTAAGCAGAGATGGACAGACTTGCTCCCATGCAGGAACCTCTGGGTTGTCCTGGACATGCACCTCCAGGCTCCCAGGTCTAAGAAAGACAGCAAGAGCCGTCAAGTGCACGTGCTGTTATTCTGCTTATTCTGCTTTACAATGAGAAGTCTCTATCGACTGCACTAAAAGTGCCTTTTACCAAGAAAGATGCTGTCTGTTAGCAAAGAAGCAATGCACCCCAGAATCAGTCAACAGAATTGCAGTATTCATCCCCTTCTAATGCAAAGTGTACTATGACAACTTTGCAATTTAAATAAAGACAGAGAAGGTAAATATAGTGACCTAAGTTTCTGAAATTTCCTTTTACAAATTTCCTGTGGCTATGGAGAGATTTCACTCCAGCAAACAATGGATACATTTTGAAATTTAAAAGTTGTGGCCAGTTTGCATTCCCAGACCTGTTTCATTACTAGAATAAAATACTGTACTGCCTTGCCTCCGAAAAGGCCTGTGGAGGGCATGTGATAGGTGAGAACCCGGTGACAGATGATGGAAACTTCCAAGAGTGATTAGTTCATAACTTAAAGGCAATTTCCAGAAATAACGGTTTCTGTTTGTGCAATTTATTAGTCATTTTTTTAACCAAAGTGTAAAGACATACAGTTGTGTTTTCCAATCTTGCATTATCTCTAACTCTATCTTAAAATGAAGTTAATAATACTTACTTTATCTACTAGTTCTGATGATTAAATGTGTATATAAAATCTGAAACTTATTGTACATACTAAGTACTTAATAAAATTCTAGTTACTAAAAAAGTATAAAAGAGTGAGACAGATGTGCCCATTATAAAAACAAATTACTTTCTCTTTCCTAAATTAACATATGGGCATCTGTTTTTAAAAAAAAGCCTAAAATCCTACAAGATAAGTTAATTTTTAAATGCAAGTTTTTTTTTTCCTCCAGAGGTAGAAAATGGAGCCATACAGAAGTGCTTCACTTAAGCTTATTGAACTGCTACTGCACTAGCACAGAAAACAGAAAATCATCTGTCCTGAGGATAGTGGGAATAAAGGTTGTATACGGTCTTGAAACATTGGGGATTTACTTACATTGAAAACTACTGAAATGAACACATTGACAACCTCATTACACAAAGAAATTCTTTTATAAGAAATATTGTATTTTAAAATTTTGCTGCAATTGTAATTAGTAACATACTTATCATTCAAAGACAAAGTTACTCTATAAAGTAAGTGTGCTTTTAAAAATTTATTCCCCAGTGGATTAATTGAATAGATAAACCTCTGGGTGCCACTAAGAGCCTATAAAAAGCAGAGATAATGGGATTCTTTTATTTATTTTCAGATTTTCAGACGATGCTGGCTGGTTTTCAAGAAGGCTTCCAGCAAAGGACCCAGAAGGTTAGAAAAATTTCCAGATGAAAAGGCAGCTTATTTCAGAAACTTTCATAAGGTGAGTCAGAGTCCTGGGAGTGCCTGGGAGAGTAGCTGCACCCTTGACAACTCGTGGAGATATTTCCTTGGTAGATGAAAGCTGCAGAGGCAAAGATTCATGGTCAAGATAAAATGCCCCTGTTCTGATAAAACTCAAAAGTTAGGTTTCTTCTTCATTATAATCATCTGTTATAAATGCCAGGGGTACCTCTGCAAATGAAAGACTCCTTTTTATTGCTGCTTTGCAAAATGAGATGACTCATAACTCAACCAGATCATTTTCTAAGGTGCTGAGTAGGCATTTTCCCTCTGTTCAGGTTAATTGAGCATTTGTTACTTTGATTTAAACCCTGGGCAATATTTAGGAGATAAAATTTTGAGGCTAGTTTTAGCAGTGCTAATGATATTGTTAATGTACATGGCACTTGGTGTTTAGTCAGCTCCTTAACAAGGAAATGATCATCGAAAGTGCTGAGATGTAGAAATGTGCCATAAATTCAAGGAGTAAAATATCAATTTCCTAAGAATTAAAGAATGTAAAATATAACCCCAAGTAATAATTCATATGCTACCTAAAGTTATCTTTGTAGATCACATCAAAACACAGTTCAGTATTTTGCAGCAATATGGAGGATTCCTGATCAGAACCGAGAACTGTAAAACAGTATTGCTGGTTGTAGGTGCTCGGGAAAGCTCAGTAAAGATTCTAATCTGTCTTTGGTGTTGAGTCAAAGAAACTTACCGGTTGATGTCATGAATGTGTGGAATTTTATTTTATATGTTATATTTTCTAATTTCTCCTTTTATTAACAGTAGATTATTTATAGTAATATACTAACAGATTCTATTACACAAATAGCTAACAGTCACATACATTATATCTGAACCTAATCAGAGAGCTTAGAATTTGACTTTCAGTAACTGTATGAGCTATTCTATGTATTAATGTAGATTTACTATCAAAAAAATGCAAGTTCAAGTCCCTATTTACTTACTAGCTCCTGGACATTTGGTTTTCTCACAAGTGGATGGATTTTAGAATTATTATATTACATGTCTCTAAGGGTTATGGAATTCTGATAGCATAAAACAGCTAACACAATTCTTCTTCTAACTACAGGAGAAGAGTGTGAGTTCTAAAGTCTTACTGGTATTGTATTATGATTATTATGGTTATGATTTTGGCAATAAGATTAAACCTGTGAATAAAGAATTTCCAGGATTTGAAATACAAATGTGTGATATTTATATTATCATTGCAAGGTTGAGGGACTGAACATAACTAAGCTTTTAGTGAAATCCTAGTCAGAGACCCTGCCTGTTCATCAATGAATTACATTAACGTGAGCTCGATAGTCAATGCACCTGTCCTCCCACTCCCCTCCCCACTCCTCCTTTACTATCTACGTTTGGGCCCAACCATCTTCTGTCTGAAAACTCGACACACTGTAGAATTCTAACCAACCATCAGGACTGGTAATGTGGACACAAGAGGTATGTATCTTTGATCCATGCCAGATCCTCTGCTCCTGGTTGGTGATTTGGAGATACAAGAGAGTCAGACATTGCCCTTCTGAAAAAAAAACTTGAATTCTAGTGCAGAGGACACAATCTAATTCACAAAAGTGAGTATGCATAGGAAAGTACACACAGTTTTCAAGTACAAAAAAAAAAAAATCAAATACATTCCACATAATTCTAAACAACATTCCATAAGTCTATTTTTTGTAGATATTAAAAGCTCATTTTAGTTGGAAATCTCTATAACCTAGATTAAACAAAGCAAGTTTAATAAAGAGCGAAGTTGGAACTATTATGCTTAAAAACATCAAGGGTAACCACGAAACTACAGAGATCATCACAATAAGATATTAGCAACAGGATATGCAAAACGATCAATGAAAGGGAATAGAAGGTCAGGAATGAACCTGTGCTTTCACGGTCAGTTGAATTGAGAGAAAGATACAAAGATAAGTCAATGGGGAAAGGAATTTTATTCAACAAATGCTGTTAGGACAACTGACTGTCCTAGGTAAATAAGTAAACATTGATCTTACTTTACACCATAGACAAAATAAACTCAAAACAAGATCACTGGTCTAAATGAAATGCAAAAGCTCCCAAAAGTAAACATAGGAGAGAGTGTTTCCCCTGTGGTATAAGAAAACAATTTCTTAAGACAAAAAAGAAAGAAAGAAAGATGCTAAGCTGATTTGAACTACATCAAAATTTAAAATACTTTTCTCTTTAAAAGACCCAATTTGTAAATTTAAAAGGCCAGTAATAGAACAGAAAACATTTTTTAAAGCATTTATCTGATAAAGGACGTGTATCAAGGATATATGAATTCTGACAATGCAATAAGAAGAACATAAATAATCCAGTATTAAAAATGGACAAAAATCATGAACATTTTCTAAATGCTCAGTAAATAAGTGCATGAGACAACACATGACATCATGAGTTGTCTGTAAAATTCAAACCAAAATCCAAAACTACCCATTCATTAGAATGGTCCAAAAGACTGAGAATAATTAGAGTTAGTGAAAACATGGAGCAACTACAGTCATGTTGGTGGTCAAAATATAATACTGTGCACCGATGTTGTTTAAAACGTTATCCATCTACCCAGCCATGCCACTTTTAGAAATGTACTACTTTTAAAAATTTATCCATTCAAAATGAAAATCATATCCACCTAATGGCAAGTATAGAAATGTTCACTTTGTTTCCAAGAGGCAGGAGTAAAAACAACCTAAATAGAGCAGGAGGGGGGATCACAGTACATCCATCAACAGGTATCCCTGAATGATGGAAAAGAAAGTCTCCTGGTACGCAGAATGTGAGACAAATATCAGAATTATGGTGCCAAGTCAAAGAAGTCAGGCCTCTCAAGATCATATTGTAATGATTTCACACTTATCTTCGGTAACAGAAATGAGGTCATTGGTTGCCTAGCTTTGAGAGGGTGACCAGGGTAAAGGTGTGGATGGGGAACAGGCTGCAAAGAATGGTGAAAATGTTATTTTTATTATGACAGTATTTTTAACGGGTATATACAACTGTTGAAACTCACTCGTTGGCTTATTTTAAATGGATGCAATCTTTGTGGGTGAGATTTTGTCCAACACAGCAATATGGAAAAGGTCAATCCTGAAAGAATATTGAAGAAGGTCAGGAATCTCCTCACACTGCCCAGCAGGCACGTTGTAAATGCGAGATCTAGATTCTGTACGTAGCAGCTGTGTGAACTTGGGTTGGCCATTTAACCTTCAACATACTTCATTGTCCTCTGATAAATTAAGATTATGATAGTTTCTATGACAGAAGGCTATTGCAAGGAATAAATGATATTGTTGCCTTGTAATGAGGTTAAATATAGCTGGAATGGTTGATAAATGAAATTTTACAGCTCTGCATGTAACTGCTTAAAGAGGTTCTTCATATATAGCAAGTCTTAAGCAGTAATTAGTTCAGTCCAGATGTGATGGTGGCTTAGATAAAGTGTTGGTATTGGATCTGGAGATAAAAAGACAATCTTTGGACATGGTGTGTGAAAACTGACAATATTTACTTAAGAATTAGGTGAAGTGAAATGTAGTAATCATGGGTGATTCATGGCTTTGAACTTGAGCAAGAGCATCAATGATTATGTGATTTATGACATGAGGAAGTCTAGAAGTGCTAAATCTGGGTAAAAATCACAAGCTTTAACTTTGTATGTGTTATACATGAAATGTCTGTTAGGCTAAAAATGTCTAGTAATCAATTGGGTAATTGAAAGTGGTCAGGAGAAAAAATACCAGTGTTACAGTTCATTTGGTTTTCCTGGGCATATTGGTAGCACTATATGCTACAGCACTGGATGAAATGTCCTTGGAAGAGTTGGAAGAGAGAAGAATAAACAAATAAGTAGCACTACAGTATTTGGAAGATTGGAAAAGGCAATGGAGCCCGGGCAGAAGTCTGAAAAAAGACTCTAAGTGGAAAGAAGAACACTCAGAGTAGACCATTGGAACCCATGGAAAACAAGGACCAGATGACCATCTGTGTCTAACATCATGGAGGGATTGGGAAGACAACAGAAAGGAGATGGTTAGACGTAAAACACAGAAGTGTCTGGTGACTCTGACAGAACTATTTCATTGAAATATCAGGACTAAGTGTACGTGGAGTGACCTACGGAAGAATGAGAGGTGAAAAAGAGACCAGCCCTCAGGGAGCTTTCTCAAGAAGTCTTGTGCCAAGACCTGCAGCAGACATGTCTTTAAAATGTGACCGTATGGCAGCACACCTGTAGCAAGCACAGCGGGAATGGTCTAGCTGACTGAAAACCAGGAGGAGGAAGCTCCTGCGTCTTGTCATAGTGCCTTGACTTTGGAAGAATCAAGGGTGCTTCATGCATTTTATCAAAAAGAAAGGGATAGAATCTGAGTGTGGACACAAGTAGGATGTATAAAAATCAATGTTAGAAAACTGCAACTGAGCTGGAGTTGTGGCTCAGCAGTAGAGCACTTGCCTAGCACATGGGAGGCACTGGATTTGATCCTCAGCACCATGTAAAAATAAAGATATTGTGTCCACCTACAACTTAAAAAAAAAAACAAAACTTGTCACACTTCAAAACCATCCATGTCCCCTCCCCCGTTACCTGAGAATCAAGGTACAAAACAGTAACAGAACTCAATGAGAATAAGAATATTTAAGGGAATAATCTGTTAATAAGTAGCTAAATAAATTTCATCAACTGTAATGTGCAGCTGCGGAAAGCGTTTTAACAACGAAACTCAGTAGATGTGACAGCTAAAATTTACCTTTGTGGTGGCAACGCTGAGAATATTAAAGTTTTTATTACTATGACTTTATAGCTTTGGCAAGGCTAATTCACTTCCTTAGTGACTTGGGTTTCCTTTCAATAATTTTATGTCATTTTTTCTTCTGAGATTGACTGTGAGCTGCATTGGTAAGTTTAAACCAATCTTTATAGGGAAGATTAGTTAGAGCACGGTTCCTCGGTGG